ATATCCTCTCAAAGGAGTATCAAACAATCCTTAAGTATGAGGAGGATTTGTGGTTTATGAAATCTCGAGTTCAATGGATCCAAAAAGGTGACAAAAATTCAAAATTTTTTCATGTTTCTACTATCAAGCGTAGATCCCATAATCGGATTCTTGGCCTTAAGGACCTTAATGGTAACTGGTGTTTTGATGCAAAAGATATTAACTCTCTCATTACCTCTCATTTCAAAAATCTTTATAACTCTTCCCATGTCCAATCTTTCCATGACTCTTATATGGATATCCTCAATGGTCCGTCAATTCACTCGTCTAGCTAGCATCATTTATCTAACATCCCTTCCCAAAGGGAAGTTTGGACTGCACTTAACACTATGCAGCCTTTTAAAGCCCCTGGACCTAATGGCCTGCATGCTGGCTTTTTTCAGAAATACTGGGAGTTTCTTAAGGAGAAATTGTGTTATGAGATCTCAAACATTTTCTCCTCTGCCAGTATGACCAGCTCATGGAATTCTAGCCTTTTGGCTCTCATCCCCAAGGTCAACAAACCTGAGTCTGTTTCTCAATTTCGACCTATAAATCTCTGCAATATTTCCTACAAAATTGTCACAAAAATTATTGTTCTTAGACTCAAGCCGATTATGGATAGTCTTGTCTCCCCCATGCAATCTAGCTTTATCCCTGGGCACAATGGTGTTGATAATGTGACTCTACTAAGAGAGTTCATATACTCTTTTAGTAGAAAAAAGGGGAGACAGGGAGAAATGATCATTAAATTAGATTTAGAAAAAGCATATGATTGTTTGGAGTAGAGCTTCATCAGAGAAACTCTGATTTTCTTCAACTTCCCACCCAATCTAATTGCTCTTATCATGTCATGTATTTCCTCTGCAAATATGGCGTGCATTGTTAATGGTGGTATCTTCGAATCTTTTCAACCATCTAAAGGATTGAGACAAGGAGACCCTCTGTCTCCTTACCTATTCATCCTCTGCTTGGAATTTCTTTCTCTTCATATCCAACAAGATGTCCAGAATGGACATTGGAAGGTTGCCAAACTTGGGAGATCAGGTCCGATTATCTCGCACCTTTTCTTTGCTGATGATCTTATCTTTATTGGGAAAGCATCTACTGCTAATGCATCTCACTTGAAAAACTTGTTGAGTTTCTTTTGTTCTTGTTTTGGACAGAATATAAACCAAAGCAAGTCCAAAATCCTTTTTTCAAAAAATACTGATGATCTCACCAAGTTCAATATCTGTCATACTCTTGGCTTTGCCGAGACTAACTCCTTTGGCAAGTATCTTGGGATTCCTATTACCCCTAAAAAGGTTTCCAAGAAGGATTGCCCTTTTATTATGGATAAAGTCAAAGCCAAACTGGCAGGTTGGAAGGCTAACATGTTTTCACTTGCTGGTAGAGCTACTCTAACCTCTTCTGTCCTTTCTACTATCCCTAATTATTATATGCAGGCGGTCTACCTTCCTAGCTCGATTCATGATGAACTTGACAAAATCTCTAAGGATTTTATATGGGGTTCTACTGATGAAAAAAAGAAAGCTCATCTTGTCTCATAGGAAAGAATTACTCAACCAAAAAGGAATGGGGGTATTGGTATCAAATCTGCCAAGGAGGCTAATCAAGCCTCTATGGCGAAGCTTCAATGGAGGCTCGCTGCAGATAAAGGTAATTTGTGGGCCAGGGCTCTCAAACAAAAGTATAAGATTGAGGGACCTAGGCATGATTTTTCCAACTCCCCCTCCCTTGTCTGTAAAGATATGGCAAAAGGTAGTCAGATTTTTGGCTTAGGCATTTCTTGGATTCCTAGAAATGGGAATAATACTTATTGTTGGCAAGACAGGTGGTGTGGGTCTAAACCACTAAATTTTGTCCTTTATGGTCCTTTTAAACCAACGGATTGCCAACTGAAGGTGGCTGATATTTTAACTCCCCAAGGCACTTGGGATTTAGATAAAATATCCTACCACCTTCCTTCAGATATTGTGGCTTGTATTCAAGCCATACCATTGTCCAAGCATACCACTGAGGATGATAAGTTTGTTTGGAACTCATCTGCTAACGGCACTTTCTCTATGAATTCTGCTTACAATATTACAAAAGGCTTGCATATATGCCAAAAAGATCAGTGGTATTGGATCTGGAAGGTTCATACTCTTCCAAAAATCCAATATTTCTTACGGCTCCTCATGCATGGTCGAATTCAGACCTTTGACACTTTGGCTAAATGGGGTGTCGTTACTGATAGCACATGCCCCATGTGCCGACTGGCGCCTGAAACCATCAACCATCTATTTAGGGAGTGTCCTTTTTCTAATTACCTTTGGTCTGCTGTTTCTCCTCGTAATTGTCCTCTTCTCCATCATGTTGCTGATTTTAAAGATTGGCTACGAGCTAATTGTGTTAGTGGTAATTCTAATTGTGACGACACAAATCATTGGAGCACCTTTTTTACCTTCACTTTATGGACCATCTGGTTTACTAGGAACCAATTTGTCCATAATAGCACCCAAATGAATATTCAGCAAATTAAGAATGTTATCCTCAATAGAGTGCAAGAGTTCCTTAAATATAACTCCCCTGATATTACTCCTAGAAAGAAGACTGTGATTCACATTGGTTGGTCACCGCCACCTCTTGGTTTCTTGAAACTTAACATTGATGGTTCTGCCCAAGGGAACCCAGGGATGGCTGGTGCAGGAGGTATATTCAGAGATCATAATGGTTCCTGGATCTATGGTTACTCTAGAAGAGTTGGCTTTACCACTAGTCTTGTTGCTGAACTTTGGGCCATTAGGGACAGTTTAGATATTGCTGTTAATAGAGGAATTTCCAAACTTATTTTGGAAATAGATTCCAAAGTTGCAGAACTTCTTCTTAAATCTGCAGACCATAACTTCCACTCACTTGGTGTGCTTATTGATGATTGCAGGCGTCTCATGCAAGAGGTTTCTGACTTTCAAATTCACCATATCTATAGGGAGGCTAATGTGGCTGCTGACTTTTTGGCCACACTTGCTGTTTCCTCTTCATTTGACTTTATGTTGTATGATGAGAGACCTAATGAGCTTTCTTGTATTTTATTCTATGACTGTATCGGAACTTTTGTTCCGAGAATTATTGTAGCCGTTTAAGTCTTATCTATTTAATCCTCCCATTACTACAAAAAACTACAATATATATATTTTTAATTACATAAACTTGTATATTAATTCTTTCCATTTTCAATACAAGAATGTCAATAGAGAAAGCAAGGATGATATGGATGATAGAGGGGAGGAGATAAAGTGTGAAAATAGACAAGTAGTTGTGAAACCTGCCCCAACAACTGATGAAAAGGCAGTTGGAGGAGATTTGAGTAAGCTTCCTTTAGACATGGTATTTGAGATTGGAAGGTGCTTATATTAGGTGAGTATATGAGCTTTCGGGCTATCAACAAAATGCTTCGGTTGGCAGCCCCTACTATCCGCTGGAAAGATGCAGCCTTAGAGGGGTTTGAAGACTACAATCATCTACCACCTTGGCTCACATTCTTGAAACCAGTTGATGCTATTTGCAATTTCATCGATCCATTCTATGGTGAAAAATATTTTGTTAACATCCCTAATAAGCAATCCAAAACTACCAAGATGTACTACTCAAGAGATGGTTGGTGTGTCATATTACAAGGAGAACGTTCCATGTTCCTCTGGAATCCTTTATAAGAGAAAATCATTCCGCTTCCAAATTTGTGTCCAAATTTGCTCCCTGGATGGAAACGTGTCATTGGTTGCAGTTTCTCATCCTCTAGAGATTGGTTTGTTTTGATTCGTAATAATTTTCAATTTGATATCATCTTTCTAAAGGAAGGGAGGTGGTGGTTTTTTCCTACATTTGGTTTCGGGGGTACCATGACATGGGTTTCCTATCCCACATTCTATGATGGGAGTTTCCACTTTGTTTGTGCCAAGAGAACACTTGCCGCTTTTAAATATGATGAAGAGAAAGTAATTTTTAAAACTCTCAAAATACCTAAAACACCTAAAACACCTCGTTTCTATGACACATACTTGTTGGAATGTGATGGGAAGCTTTTGTTAGTATTAGTGGGTTTTTTAGGAGAATGGATTCGAGTTTTCAAGTTGGATTTTGTTGAGATGATCTTGGTTGAAGTTGAAAATTTGGGAAAAAACACACTTTATGTTAGCCGCTTTTCATGTTTCTCTATGGTAACCCCAAGTCCAGAAATGGAGAACAAAATTTATTTCTCAAGATTCTACAAGGAAAAAAATGTTGTCTACTATTCTCTTACGTACTGTTTGGATTGAGGGAGACCAACGAAGAGGGATAAGGAGTGAAGGGGATGGATGGTAATTGAGGGAGAGGGAGGGGAGGCTGTCTCCTTCCTTATGTTTGGATATGTTAAGAGCAAGAAGGGGAGGGAGATGGAGGAGGTTTGGATCCCCTCAACAACCCTTCGCAATTGCAGATTTCCAATCCCCCCAATTTGGGGGGTTTGGGACGGATTTGGCAAAGGTTCAGATTTTGCCAACTAAAATTACCGTAATATCCCCTTTACCCACATTATTTAAGACCTTCTGGTTCTTCTTCCACCTTAGTTATTAGCATCACTAGCCACCGAATTCAAGGTAAGCATACCACCAACTCAACTTCAATTTTGATTACTTTGTTATCTTTCACCATTCTCTCACCAGCTTCGACCATTTTTAATCTACAACATAGCATCCAAAATTGAAAATGAAGTTGAATTAGAAAATGGAATTGCTAGCATTCTAGCTCGCTCTCGCTCTCGCTTTCTCTTCTGAAAACGAATAGACAAGATCTCAACTTCAGAGTTCATTGAAAAACTACACAACATACTTGTCGAGCAAAGGAAGGCTCACAAGAAAAGTCACAGAAAACCAAGGAAATTCTGCAACTGCAATGCAACTGTTTTGATTCGAAGGTATTTATCTCATTTTGTTTCCTGTTTTCGATTAGGTTTCCCTTTAACTTCCTTTGCAACAGTTTTGATTTGAAAATGCTGTTTTATTTCATATTTCTCTTTTGACTTTGTGATCCTTCCATTAGAGGTTTTATTGTTTTCTATGTGATTGATGATTCTTCATAGTCAGAGTGTACATCTAATAAAAGCTACTCTCTGCCAAAGACTACGAGGCAGATCAGAGGCTTGGTTGCTCAATGAATTGAACAAACATAAAGAAAAGGTCAAAATAATAGAAGGTTCTATGAAGAATAATTTCATTTAAGCATACATTTTTGTGATTGCCTCTTGCTAAAAGTTTTGCCAGAGATAACTTTAAGAGCTGCTTGTCTGGCTAAATTTGACTTGTCATCAGGAATTGTAACTATTTGCTTGTTTTGACTCTCCAAGGTAGTCTTAATTAACTAATTTTTGCTCCTCTTGTCGTAACCATCATTCAAGATGATAAATGTTTGGTCTTTCCCAGAATTGTGAATTAATTTATTACAGTGATCAGAAGTTGCAACCAACTGAAGTGATTTTGGTTTTACATAAGTTATTCTCTTCACGTTTGAAGAAACCAAGTTTCCATCATTTTGTTTAGTCTAACTGTCCAAATTGATAACTGAACTATTTTCATTTCGAGTTTTAGAATTCTTTAATCCATCTTTTGATAAATCTAATAGATCATTAGTTTCCAAGGGAGTTGTATGATCTCTAGGTTCACAACAATTACTCAAAGGAGGTTGTGCTAATGAGGATGATTTTCCAGAATTTACCACTAATGAATAGCACGTAGAACTTCTAGAAGCCCTTCCACTTTCCCTCAAAATAATTGGAACCACAAACTTGATTTTATTTTTCTCTCAAAATAATTGTATAATTCAGACGCCTACTTCTTATTATTACAGTATCTGCATGGTGACTTTTGTATCTGTGGTTTAACATATTTTGTTATTAGGTTTCATGCTTCTGAAATTTCATGCTTCTGAAATTTCTTGCAACAATTTTAGTTTCCTCCACTTGTTCCATTCTTTTAATTTTATTTTCTATTTGAATGTTGATTTGTATCTCATAAATAAACATCATCACAAACCATTAATTTCACAAGCAATTAGCAAAAGCAGTGGTGGACGTCTTGCCCATTTATCTGCTAAGAGCATTGACATAACAGTAGCTGGAATCTATTTTGACACAGTAGTTGCCTTCAACATTAATCCAGGTAATTATAATTTAAAAATTGCTACTTTATATTGGTATATTGAAATGCCTTATATTTATATGGTTAAATGCTTAATTTGGTCCCTCAATTTTAAGAAATGAACATTTTTGGTCCCTCAACTTTACGAAATGCACTCCGTTAGTCCTTCTGTTAATTTGGGCCGTTGACTTTGCTTATGTGGCATTTTTTATATTTTTTTTGATGATGTGGAGAGCAAAGTGATGATATGGACAAACATTTTGACATTTCATATTACCCTCG